TAATATCAGTAATAACAAATTAATGACAGACTTTTAGAAATTCAGCATTTACTTTTGAACTTAAATAGCTTTTCATACCATTTGCTATCTGACTGAAGATGATTTTACATCTGTAAAGGTCATATAATTTAAAACATTTTTGAAACTAATAATAGCTACAGTCTATCGAGGGCTTAGCTTGTGCCAGGCATTGTTCTAAATGCTTCCCATGTATTATTTAAACCTCAGAGAAGTACCGTGAAGTAGCTACCATTAGTATCCTCATTTGTCTAAGAAATTAACAAAGGCTCAGAGAGTTTGAAGATCTCCCCAAGGCTACAGAGTCAGCAGGTGACAGAACAAGGCAGAAACCCAGGCAGCCGCAGTGCAGAGCCTTCACACCTGACTACCACTCCCAGCCTGCCTCCCGCTCATGGTAAACCTTGATCTTACCTGGTCAGGTGAGCTTCCTCTGCTCCTGAGGGCTCCTTATGGATTAGGAACTTCTGAACTTTTGCATATGACAAAATGAAGAATAAGATACGGTTGCAGTTAGAGGCTAGAGACATGAGAGACAGGAAGCCCATGGAAATAAAGACACCCTGGACTGTGACACACAGACCCACACACCCAGGGCGTCTTCCCGACACTCCAAATGCCACGGTGTGCTTGGAGGTTGGGCAACAGTGGTCTACATGATGCCAAATAACCAGTTTGACTGAATCCTCCATGTTTTCACTGAGTGTCTGTCACTGCTGGGAGGGTTCAGCAACATTTTCAAAGCAGTGAATCAAATGAGGAAGTAGAATGTACTTAGGATTTGAATAGACAAAATCAGAGACAGTAATATTTACCTTCTCAATACCAGAGTTCACTGTGAGGGTCAAATGAAACAATGCTTGTGAAAGTACTGATGAAAACCATATGATGTGCAGGGAAGTGATTGATGGTAACTCAGCTGAGAAGATGAGGCCACCCTGACTCACTTTTGAGGCTAGAAAGAGCTTGGGACTAGCAGTGTAACAAAGGAAACTAAACCCACAAGCCAAAGGGATTTGACCTGCTGTCAACTTTGGCATAGAGATCTGAGAAGAAGGAAGAAAACTTAGCTCTAAGCCCCACCTGAAACACTGGCTAATGGATGCGTAAGTGCCTCAGTCTTCTACTTCACTTTGTAGAACGTAGAGCCCAGGCAGTAACTGAATCTCTTTCACCTCCCAGCAGGAGGAAGGATACGTTGCTACCCAGCATGATATGGTAGATTCAGTTCTATTAATTTGGGCTCATTCTCAAGTTCTTTCAAAACTGAATGTATTCATATGTGTCCAGATCCTAAGAGCTGTTCCACTTGAGCCAATTAAACAACGTGGCATGAAAGGAAGCACTCAGGTTGTTAGAACAGGTGGAAAGATTATGTACCAGTCCATACGCATCCAGTCTTTGATGAAAAACTCAACCATGCTTTGCTTTGAATGACAGTGTGATGACAGAGGTGTGTGGACTTGCCTGGAATCTCCTACGTGTTATGTCTTTAAAAAGAATCTCTTCTAACAAAACTTCAGCGGACTCTGGGGAATTCTAGGAAGCACAATGTTAAGATTGTTAATGTTGATTTGTTGCCATGACTTCATGTGGAAATAGCATGAATATAATTAAACTTCTCAGGCATTTATGGATTATAATTTGCTTAAATCTCAGAAGAATTTCTACACTATTGCCTTCTCATATTCTTAGTCAACTTTGAGATTTATTTGAATCATCTGGAGAATTCTTCCAATTCATTTGCTTGTACAGATACAAAGCCATCTCAAGTAAGTGAAACTAATCTTTTCCAAATGTTTTCATTATTCTTCTTATATAAGCTTGCTATTTTAGTTAAGCATTCAATACATTGAAATTAATTAAAAATAAAACACATTGAAACTTCTTCCCTGACCCTGCGATACATAAAATGATAGCTCCTACTCTTTAGATGCTCAAATTTTCCGTTTTTCTTCCCCCCACAAAACTAGATGATATTAGAGCTGCAAAGAAATCTTGAGCAAAATGTAGATTAAGGCACAAACTTTCAGAAGGTCTGTGGTATTCTGATATCTTGACCCAAAGATCATATCACAACCTGAGGAAACTGTGACTGGTGGCTCCCCATTCAATGACCAGGATGGCTGAAAATAGGCAGTTGAACATAAATCTTTGAACTTAGTGTCTTATTTGTGAAAATGATTATTATTTTCTTTCCAATGCTCTAACTCAAAATACTTTTGCTATTACAATGTCTCTTTTTTTGTTTAATAGTTTGTTTCTCTCTCCCTAAAGACTGCTTTTTCTTAACATTTGACTTTGTATCAAAGGGGACATAATTTTCCGTTGAAAACAACTTAAAGTTGAAAAGAATAGGTCATAACCAGCAAAATAGAAACTAATGAGAATTTTGCGTAAAGAAATAATTTAAACCCTTATGCCTTTGAGACAGTTATTTTTTGCCCTGGACTAAAAGACTTTGCATGAACAGGAACATGGAATTTGTCACGTGTTCACTAGATAATTTATCTAATCCATTATACATCCTAAAATTCAAAGAAGGCTCAAGAGCGCCACAAGTGTGTGTGTGTGTGTGTGTGTGTGTGTTTGTGTGTGTGTGTGTAAAATGATAGATTAACATACTTTGGCTTTAGAAAAGGCACTTTACACTTTACATTTTATTTCTTTACTTATAAGGAAAAGTTGTCAGTGCTAATGATACCTATAAGAAAGGATGCCGTTCTGGAGATTACCTACTGGAGTGGAGTGTGTTCTCGTCAGTGTCGGTGTCAGTGAATCTCCATTTCAGCTTGGCTGTCCTACACCCATCGCCAAACACAGTATAGCTACGACAAAGAGGCAGAAGAGAGAAACGACAAACACAAAGTTTGAAATATTAAAGGTTTTTAAGAGGCCATAATAAGCTAAGTCAACTCATGCCCATCCCAATCCAAAACACTCAAAGGAAAGATAATTTACATTTAAAGTGTAGTTATTACCAAAAGCCAGGGTGCAGGAGGTTGGCTTTGATGACATTCAGGTCCTGGAGTGGCAGGATCAGGACTGAATTGGTGGCAAAGTTTAGAGCTTGTGAGAATGAGCAGGAAAGGTCATACCATGAAATAGGAGGAAATTTATACCACCCTCCAAGCAGGTTTAACTGCTGAGCTGCTTACTTAATATGCAAAATTTATGTAAGGTATGCTCTACAGCTCATTTTGAATTTGGATTTCTGTAGGAGGTATATTCAAGTGGAGGCTTTTTTTAAAAAATTTAAACACAGAGTCTACTTACCCAGAATTCAAATTGAATCTAGTTTTAGATATATTTTCACCAATTTGTGTAGTTAAATAAATGATGATTGGCATATGCAAAGAGGTAACATTGGCTGTTTTGATATATGCTCCTGTTTCTTTCTTGAATTTTTATTTTGTTGAATTGCTGTTAAACCACCTCAAATCTTCCCAGCACTCCTGAAAATGGGTAGATGGCTTTTAATATCATGATGTCTTAACTTCCTAATCACCATCAACATCAAAAATATTTGCTGAGTGAATAAATGGATTAACTGATAAATCTAGAAGTCCAGAGTATGTTGCTTAGTTACTGAGAAGTAATGCTAATGTTATTATTAACAATATAGTGAATTTTTAATTATTTATTGAGTATTTACTTTGTGTCAGGTGTTTCACTTTAATATACGACCAGCTTGACTATAAATTCTGCTGGACCTTTTTCCTTTTAATTATGATTCAAAGGACATTTTTATTAACGTTACTATATAGTAAATTTAATAGTAAATTTTATATGAGGTACATAATAAATTTTACAATAAATTCATAGAAAAAACAATCTTTTTGGTACTAATATGCAATAAGTCCACTATTATTCATAAATTGCATGGCACACTAATATAATAAAAAATTGTTACTCAACAGTAGTTTTACTGCTATTCAGCCCCCAAATTATCCTTAAACTTGGTACCCAGTATGGCACAATCTGATGTCTTTTACATAATCTATATTCTCTCATTTCTCCATAATTACAAAAAAAACCTTATAACCTTATACATGAAGAATTATTCAAATTTTCTACATATAATGAGATTTCTTAGGAGATAATTACTTTTCCTCTTTTCTCTATACCAGTGCTGTCCAACAGAAATGTAAAATGAACTACATATTAGGGAATTTAAATTTCCTTATAGCCATACTCTTTTAAAGTGTAAAGAACAGGTAAAATCAGTTTTTATTTATAATTTATTCTATAAATAATTCATTTTATAAATAAAATTTAATTCTATTTATATTTCTTTTAAACCAATAGATCCAAAGTATTATCATTTCAACATGTAATCAATATTATTATTAATGAGAGATTTTCCACTCTTTTTTTTTGTTCTATGTCTTTGAAATCTGAACAGTATGTTACAGTTAGAGCTCATCTTTATTAGCATCAACCATGTTTCAAGTGTTAAATAGCCACATCTGACCAGTGGTTGTGTATTGAGGAGTGCAGCTCTGTACTCTCAGTCTGAAGCTTATTTATTTTCTTTGTTTGTTGAAATTTTTCTTCAACTAGATTATTTATTTTTTCATATTGTACTCACCCCAAATACATAACTTTGTATCATATATTTTACCTCAATTGAATATCTGCCTACCAAACTTTCTACCATCTGAATCACCAAACATACCTTCTCAAGGGCTTGGCGTCTGCTCCCCAAATCGTTTTGAGAATTCATGCGCAGCAAAAATGACATGTGCACGAATACTTAGCTACAGTCCTTTATCAAATGCATGATGTCCACCTGTGTTCTTGGGCTCACTAAATCTGAAAGGATGGCTTGTTACACTGACTCTACTCCAACAACAAATGCCAAACTATTATTTTAAAGCTCTTTTCTTATGATTTAACATTCCCTAATAGAAAAAAATGTCACCCGAATGATTATGCTATTATTTTAAATCATTTACAATTTTGACAGCTTCCTGGATCTAACTCTTCTGAGACTGCTGATTGAATTAGGAGCAACAAATACGTATGTGTGTGTGTGTGTGCACATGTGTGCATGCATATATGTAATGTAGCAGTGTACTTGAGAGATTTTGCTTTGAGACCATGGGTATCAACACAAATTCTCCCTAAAAGAGGAATGGTTCTTTAATATTAAACTAAGAAAATATTTGTTTATGGCTAGTTTTCTGGACTAAATAGCTACATAATAGCATAAGCTGTCTTCATCACTAGCTGGACACCCACAAACTTCTAACTAGATTCCCTGCATCCACCTAGTTCATTCTTCATGTTGCAGTTAACTGTCACCATTAAAGATCACAGGTCTGATATATTTTTTAATCATTCTTGAGATTAAAACTCTTTAATGACTTACCATTTAAAATTCTGTGAGTGGCTAGGAAGGTGTCAAACCAGGCTCTGTCTACCTCTTTGAGCTCATCTTGTCCCATTTTCTCCCAGGCTCCAGGTGCTTCTTTAATTTCCCCTAGTAAGCCTAGCTCCTTGCCATCTGAGCTAGTTCCCTGCCTGTAACATCTGGCAAATTTAGCAGATCTTAGCCAAAATTTCATTTCCTCAGAAAAGAATTCCTTGTCTACCTTGATGAG